TGGCTGATGCCCTATCACGACAAAACGTAAACGCATTGCAAGATGAGCCCCACTCAGATGCAGCCACCATTCACAGCGAAATTTCCCTGACCTACACAATTGAAACGACGGACAAACCTTTAAATTGTTTCAGGAACCAAATAGTCCTAGAAGAAGCACGTTTCCCATTAAAGCGCAACTTTATACTTTTCGGCAGCAAAACTCGCCACTTAATAAATTTCACTGATAAAAGTAACCTTTTTGAGACGCTTAAGGAGGTAATTAACCCAAATGTCGTAAATGCAATTCACTGCGACTTACCGACACTGGCCAGTTTTCAACACAAAGTCGTGTTAAATTTCCCCACAGCAAAATTTTGGCATTGTAAGAATTTAGTAGCCGACATCTCTGACAAAAACGAACAAAGAGAGATTATCACAGCTGAACACAATCGTGCGCACAGAGCTGCTCAAGAAAATACTAAGCAAGTCCTTCGCGATTACTATTTTCCCAAAATGAACAAGCTAGCCAATGAAATCGTCGCTAATTGCAAGGTATGCATTCAAGCAAAGTACGATAGGCACCCCAAAAAGCAAGAACTTGGAATAACACCAATTCCATCCCACTCCGGGAAATGCTCCATATCGACGTATTTAACACAGATAAAAAACAGTTTCTAACTTGCATCGACAAGTTCTCAAAATTCGCCGTAGTTCAGCCAATAATATCCCGAACAATAGTCGACGTAAAAGCCCCTATATTACAGCTGATAAACTTATTCCCAAACATTAGAACCATTTATTGCGACAACGAGCCAGCTTTCAAGTCTGAAACAATAACATCGCTTCTAAAAAACAACTACAATATAGATGTCGTAAATGCACCCCCACTCCACAGCAGTTCAAATGGTCAAGTGGAGCGTTTTCACAGCACCTTAACCGAAATCGCGAGATGTCTGAAATTAGACAAAAAAGCCGACGACACAACTGAATTAATAATGAGGGCAACGGTGGAATATAATAGAACACTCCACTCAATCACCGGTAGAAAACCTATAGAGGTCTTACATTCGGAATCTGACGATATCAGGCGAATCGTTAAAGAAAAAATAACGAAAGCCCAGGAAGACAATATCGAAAGATGTAATCCTAACAGACAGAATAGGGTATTCGAGGTAGGTGAGAAAATATACATAAAAAACAACAAAAGGCTTGGAAACAAGTTGTCCCCCTTATGCTCAGAAGAAAAGATACAAGCAGACCTAGGAACGTCTGTTCTTGTAAAGGGGCGGGTGGTCCATAAGGACAACATTGTCACGCACAAAGATTAGATTAGTAATAGAGTAAGTTGCACAATATTTTTTCTCATTTTGTTTTCCTTGTCTTACAGGATGATTAGCACAATCCTGCTCATGATAATATCAGTGAACGCTCGGATTACCGATTACTCGCACTCTAACTACATTCCCATAATAGACGGGGACGCGTTAGTATGGGAGCAGAGGGATTACTTAAAACACACAAGCAACTTGTCCGATTTTGTAGCAATTACAGAGAGCACCGAAAAATTGTCCGAACATTTCCCACAATCACATATGAGAAAGCTGTTAGAGGTCGATACAGACCACATTAAGAGTCTTCTGTCCGTTTTAAAAATACACCATAGGATAGCTAGAAGCCTAGATTTTCTGGGGACAGCTCTCAAAGTGATCGCAGGCACCCCTGACGCCTCAGACCTCGAACGAATAAAAGTAACAGAATCCCAACTAGTCGACTCAAATAACAGACAAATTCTAATAAACTCTGAAACCCAGAAACAAATTAACAACCTAACTGATACCATCAATCAAATTATTAAAAGCAAACAACAGAATTTAGTTGACACTCCTCACTTATACGAGGCCCTTCTGGCCAGAAACAGAATGCTAATAACAGAAATTCAAAATTTAATGTTAACAGTTACTTTGGCCAAATCAAACATAGTGAATCCAACTATTTTCGACAACAATGATTTGAGGTTTTTGGTAGAACAGACAATAGACACACCAATAGTTAGTCTGGTGGAAGCATCGACTATTAAGGTCCTCCAGTCCGAAAATATCATCCATATCCTAATAGCATACCCTAGAGTTAAGTCCATCTGCAAAAAAATCACCGTCTTCCCCGTGTCACACCATCACACAATATTAAAGCTTCACGATGACATAGTAGCCGAATGCGATGGAGATATCCTAGCAGTAACCGAGTGCACTGCAACGACCTATTCCACCTTTTGCAAAAGGGCGACACACGACACCTGTGCGCGGGCACTTCACGCCGGAGACACAGCTATGTGCCATACGCAGCCCAGCCATTTAGAACCGATCACCCAGGTGGACGATGGCGTAATAATTATCAACGAAAGTGCAGCAAAGGCTAGCACAGACGGCGGACCAGAGATTTCAACAAACGGCACGCATCTCATCACGTTTGAGCATCAGGCAACCGTCAACGGGACCAAATATGTTAACATACGTGAGGTCCTAAACAAGGCGCCAGGCATCGCGGGGTCTCCACTACTGAACGTTGTAGGCCACGACCCGGTTTTGAGCATGCCACTCCTTCATAGGTTGAATATTCAAAACCTAATGACCATACAAAGATTCAAAGATGAGATAACATCGTCATGGCCACCCAAATATTGGTTCGTAGTTGGAATAGGATTCAGCGTTATCCTCACTGGTTCACTTTTCCTTTTCCAAGTGTTAAGGAGAAGGCGAGACTCCCGAGAAGCACAAGAAGCTATCAGCAGGTTTAACGTGACCGAGGACGGTAACGGACTTGAGGGGGGAGTAGTTATAAGATAACTCATAAGTTTAATAAACTCTCGCAACTGCGGAGCTAAACACCTTGTAAGATATAAGATAATTCATAAGTTTAATAAACTCTCGCAATTGCGGAGCTAAACACTTTGTATCAGCGTGCTATAGCTGCAATGGTCAGCGGCAGCAACCGGAGACTTTTGTTATGTCGCAAGAGTTTCTTGTTATTGTTTACGCTTATGCTGAGTCGGCTTGCCGACCATGACATTGTAGCGTGATGCGAGTTTAGGTTTAGCTTTAGCAGAATATTTGTAATCAGTTTTGAATGCAGCGCTCAACCAATAAGTCGCTTAATAAATATCACTACTCCGGCACTTGCCGTTAATTGTTATATCTTTTATTTATTGACTGAGCCCAAGGCCAGCAATAGAAGGTACAGTTACTTTCCACCATAATCTTCCTACTGGCAACTGCAGCGGATATAAAAGCCGTCGCTGGACACATCAAGGAAGAGGAAACTTAAGTCATCCTACTAGCCATACCGGCGGACACGGGAGTCTTCGCTGGACACAACGCAGAGGACAAAACATAATTTATATACTGGCCTTACAAAAATACTGATTGCTCATAACTTCTTAAGCTAATATCAGCCTACTCTGATGTAATTTTAGCGGGGGACTTTAATGGCAACCTTCTTTGTGATGACCAGCCCACCAAGTCCATGTTAATACTTGGCATATATGCTGTTCACAATAGAGAACCGACATTATGACCAGATCTAAGCACCTACCTTTTCTAATACGATCTTATTTTCTTAACGTATGGAATGTCTCTTGATTGCAATAGTGATAAGATAAAATATAGGGACTTTAAAAATATTTATTATTAAGAATTTATAATACGCTTACGACAACGTAAAGTGCAAACGGTCGTGGTCGAAGCGCTTTAAAGCGGCCCGGACCGCTTGAAGGCAGCACCTGTACAGTCCGTACCTCGCACGAAGTGATTACCACGTGTTTCAGTCCATTGCGAACGAGCATTGTAGTCAGAAGTTACACACAAAAGTGTCTTGTGAAAATTGGGTTTCCGAGTTAGTAGGGAAGCAATCTTCTACAAGAGGGACATTATGATGTTGGCATCTAGTTGGGAACTAGTCATCGAAAAAAATTGCACCTATTTATTTATTGTAACCAACTTTATGAATAACTAAAAAATACAAATATACTGTTGGATTTTATTGACTCCTTTCTTTATACGCATTTCTATCTATTTAAATGTTTATACCCTTACAGAGGGTATTATAATTTCAGTCAGAAGTTTCCAACTCAGTGAAGAAGACATGACAATGTAAAAATCATATATATATTATTTGTACGTAAATAAAAAAAATATTAATTCACAAAATTAGGGTTTCTGTATTATTTCTATGCTTATGCAGTAGAGTGTGATTGTAACGCAGTGAAGGAGACATTTCCGACTTTATAAAATGTCGTTTTCGAAGAATTATTATTATACCCGTTGGTCGTAGACAAGTAAAATGCGGCGTTTCCGACCCTATAAAGTATATATATTCTTGATCAACATCAGTAGGAAAGACGATATAGCCATGACCATCTGTTCGTCCGTCCGTCGGTCCATCTTTCCGTCCATCTGTCCGTCCACCTGTCCGCCCGTCAGTCCGTTCGTCCCTCCGTCTGTCCGTCCGTCCGTTTGTCGGTCCGTCCGTCCGCCCGTCCCTCCGTCTGTCCGTCCGTCCATCTGTCCGTCCGTCTGTTCGTCCGTCCGTCTGTCCGTCCATTTGTCCGTCAACTAGTATCTCAGTTTTAAAGCTATCTGGATGAAACTTTCCCAAAAGTTTTTTTTGTATTGCAGGTAATATATGAGTCGGAACGAGCCCAATCGGACGATAACTCCCAGAAGAACAACCGGAAAAAAAAAAACAAAAAATAATTATTATTTCGCTGTATCTTAATTTTTTTTAGTTATTCGAGATAAAGTCATGGTTTATTTTTTCGGAATTATGTTTAAAGTTGAAATGACGATTACAATGGACACAATTGGAATGTTAAAAAAATCAAAATTCATATACTTTAAAGAATATTATATTTTTGCATTAGCTGCAAGGGTGTACAAACTTTGGCTTTTCGAAGTTTGCTTCCTTTCCTGTTTTATATCATATTATACATTTTTATCGTATTACATTTTTTGTTGATTTTTTCAGGTACAATCTGCAATGCGTCCACTGCTCTTAAAATTGGGCGATCACAGAAATTTGTCTATACCAGCAATAAAACGCTTATCTTATTTTACGCAATTATTTCCGGAAATGTTTAATGAGAAGTTAAGTGAACAAATATTGCAACACTGTTCAAAAATTATTGAAATATTTGTGGGAGACTATAAGTGCACAAATCAAAATATCAACTTTTTTGCATCATCAAAGGGCGGAGAGTACGAACTTAAAATTGTCACACTAGTCGAAATGTTTTCCCATATCTCAGCATCAGAAAAATATATTGAAAAGTTATGCCAACTCGTCTTAAAAACAGAAAAAAATCTGATGATTGAGGCATCAAGCCCATATCGAGAACCGCTTCTAAAGTTTCTTCAACGTTTTCCAGCAGAAACAGTGGATTTATTTTTAAAAGAATCTGTTATGATGGACTCTCAATGGAATCGTTTTTTTATATATGTTTTAAAGCACAAAATGGGATCAACATTTCGTTTAGCTATAAAAAACAGTAAATATAACAAATTATTAATTTACTTAAACTTCAATTCCGACTTACTACAAACACATAAATATGAAGTTCATCACCAAGCCGTTTTAATAATTTTTACGTTAATGGAAATAGATGATCAATGGATTCCGACGCGACGAGACATTGTAGACGCCCTCAAAAATTGCTGGCAGAGTAATTTATATTCCACATGCGCTGAAAACGTAGTTTGTGATTTATGGCATTTAATTGGAAGAATACTCTTGCTTTATTTTTCAAACAACACAAATGATATTGAACTGCTCTTTCAATTATTAAAAGCATTATGCTTTCGCTTTATACCTGATGTTTACTTCTTACGAGATTTCTTGCAAAACACAGTTGCTCAAAGCTTTACCGTTAACTGGAAACGAAACGCATTTTTTTATTTTGTTGAAAATTTTAATAACAACACAATTTCAGAAGAGCTGAAAGCGAAAATTATTTCAGCTGTTATTATTCCTTGTTTTACTGTAAGTTTTGATAAAGGCGAAGGAAACAAACTAATTGGCGCTCCGCCGACGCCATATCAAGAAGATGAAAAAAATATTGTTTCCGTCTTTATTAATAAAGTTTTTGACCCGGATAAACAATATGAAGATGCAGTTAGAATTGCTCTGTTACAGTTTGCCTGTTTATTGGTAGAACGCGCATCTCAGCACATACATGATGGAGATGCTAATAATAAGCGGCAGGGTAATAAGCTTCGGCGTCTCATGACCTTTGCTTGGCCCTGTTTACTTAGTAAGAATTCGGTGGACCCAACTGCACGATATCATGGTCATTTATTGCTTGCGCATATAATAGCTAGATTGGCAATTCATAAAAAAATAGTTTTGCAAGTATTTCATTCGTTGCTTAAAGGACATGCATTAGAGGCTAGATCTATAGTTAAACAAGCTCTCGATGTACTAACACCAGCTATGCCGTTGCGAATGGAAGACGGAAACACTATGTTGACACACTGGACAAAAAAAATTATCGTTGAAGAAGGCCATGCAATGCAGCAGCTGTTTCATATATTACAACTTATAATTCGTCATTATAAAGTAAGTATTGACATTATTATATTAAATGTCCGTTTGCCCGCCCGTCCGTCTGTATGTCTCTACGTCGATGTAGCTTCATTGGTGTTAGACATGTACGCATAAAAATCGAAGCATGTAGAATATTTATACCCGTTATTCGCAGAGTAAAAAAATTTATTGTATTCGTTGAAAAGTATGTTACAGGTAGGAAGAGTCGTTCCGGACTCTATAAAGTATATATTCTTTATTAGGATCACTAGCCGAGTCGATCATACCAAGTCCGTTTGTCTGTCCGTCTGGCCGTCTGTATCAATGTCGAGATCTCGAAAACTACAAAAGCTAGAGATTTGGAATTCTAGTAATTCTTACGCAGCCTTGGTTTAATTCAAAACGGTCACGCCCACTCTGACAAAGCGCAAAAGTCTGTCATGTTACTCTGTTAAACCATAGTTATAGGATTGTTTGTGTGTTTCGATTATTTTAAAAAATTTTTATTTAAAAAGTTATTCAGTTATTTAATCCTCTGCCGCCTACTAGACTATCCTATTCTCATTAGATAGAGCCGTAGTGCTTGCTGATTTAGAACTGTTAGCGAGGGTGCTGCCCGCTCTTAGCTTCCATGTTGGCTATGCAACTTTATAAAATGCATCTATTCTTGATGAGACTATACAAGTTAATATAACATTGTCCAGATCAAGTTTGAAAACGGCGTAGGTCGGATCCTAAAGCTACCTTGGGACAGTCAAGTCAAGATGTTAAATTTCGCCCTTCCAAAACGTACTTTTTCGTCCTATTCAAGGTAAATGGGAGCGTTTCCGACCCTATAAAGTATATATATTCTTTATTAGGATCAATAGCCGAGTCGAACTAGTCATGTCCGTGTGTTTGACCGTCTGTCTCTCTGTCCGCCTATCCGTATGTATGAACGGGAAGATTTTGGAAACTATTAAAGCCTTTGATGGTTTGACATGCAGATTCTAGTAATTCTTACGCAGTGCAAGTTTTTTTCTGCTGCAAGGGTATATAAACTTCGGCTTTTCGAAGTTTAATATCTTGCTTCTTGTTATGTAGCAATCAGTTGATTTTAATGATTATATTATAATTTATTTATTTTGTAGGTATATTTTCCTGTAAGGCATCAACTAGTGCAACACTTAATAAATTATATGCAGCGCTTAGGATTTCCTCCTACTGCGTCTATTGAACATAAGAAACTAGCTGTGGACTTAGCAGAAGTAATTATAAAATGGGAGCTTCACCGCATTAAAGAGGATGAGCGAGAAACCAAAGCTGATGGAACCGATGAAGAATTCTTGCAGGAAAGCTCAATAAAACGGACAGGAATCGATTCGGTGGAAACTCGAAAAAAGTCTTTTGACAATATAAGAGATTCAACAGTGCAAGGAAAGTACAAAATACGAAATTAAAATAGTTTTACTTCATACGCTTAATAGTTACAGGTTTTGAAAAATTCTACGCTTAAGTCGTCTCCTTACCGTTCTAAACTCTTTTAATATGGCACAAATTTGCGGTTTAGTACTAGTTCACAGCCCGACGAAAAAGTTGCGTTTTAAAATGGCTATAAAAACGAACGTCTGGATATTTTTCAAATATTTTTTTTTATATTTAAAAACCCCAACTTTGCGGTTTGGTTTTGGTTAATTAAGGAAGGCAATAAGTAATTGCAAAATTGTTATGGAATCCAAGGGGCATCAAAAAAATCATCCTTAAATATCATTTTTATACCCTTGCAGAGGGTATAATAATTTCAGTCAGAAGTTTACAATGCAGTGAAGGAGACGTTTCCGACCCTATAAAGTGTATATATTCTTGATCAGCATCACTAGGAGAGTCGATCTAGCCATGTCCGTCTGTCCGTTTCTACGCAAACTAGTCGGTTTAAAAGCTATCTTTCACTTTCACTTTCCCAAAAGTCTTTCTATTGCAGGTAGTGTATAAGTCGGAACGAGCCGGATTAGAATACTATAGCATATTGCTCCCAAAGGAACAATCGGAAAAAATAACAATAAATTTTAACTTTGCTGTTTTTAATTTTTTTTTAGTTCTTCGACAAATAGTAATTGTTAAATATTTCTGAATTACGATTTAAATTTCATCAAAATCGAGCGACTATATCATATTGCTCTCATAGGAACAATCGGAAAAAAAATACAAAAAAATTATAACTTTTCTGCTTTTAAAATTGTTATTTAGTTCTTCGACTTATAGTAATGGTTAAATATTTCAGAATCACGGTTTAAATTTCATCAGAATCAGACGACTATATCATATAGCTCCCATAGGAAAAATCGGGGAAAAAACTATATTTCGGCCGTTTCGACTATTCTCAAGGAAAACCGTCATTGCCGTTTAATAAAAAGTGGAAAAAAAGAATACAGTTTTCCATTCCAAAATAATTGAAGGCTGACATACCAAAAAGTGCAGTTTCAGGTTCCACATGCTGAACAGGCTTTCAGAAACCATGTCATAATAAAAAAAACCGGCTTTAAGGATTCGCTCTGTGATCAGGAAAATAAAACAAAGAGAAAAGAAAGGAACTCAGTTATCAAAAGAACAAAACTTCAAGATTCCGAGTTCTAAAATTATAAAATTTGGGACGACGAAAATTTGTTTTAATTATTTAAAATTAAAGGAAAAAATGAATCTTTCCCAGCAGCTAGCGACCCCAAGTATACAGTCCGGAATGTCAGGCTCTGGTAGCACTTTAATGTGAAGAAGAAACTCAAAACCTTAACATAATGCCAAGTCTGATGAACCTGCCTAGAAGGCATGTACGCCACAATTACCTATTTACAATTTATAAATTTAAGAGAGGTATCTAAGAGTGTAATTAGTATTGAGTTACAAACATAAGTTTAAAGCTCCGATCTTTTCAGAGAGCTTTCTAGTATTTTAGGTGTCTCGACCAGATATCGGACGAAGTTGCCACCTCGAGTTTTAGTAAAGGCGAGTTGGTTAAGGCTAGTGAAGCTATGTCTTCCCGTCAATTAAAAAGGTGTAGCGGACTTAAGTGAAAAAAGCCTAAAAGCTAAAGAAACAAATAAAGTTTAATTTAAAAAGGCGCACCCCATTGTAACCTAATATCACTTTCCTCGTAGTGTTATCCTTCTCTGGGCTTGTACGCGGACATTCTTCCCGATCAGTTTAGTAAGTAACCACACTTTTCTCGTAGTTTTACCGACACAGTTTCTTTGGGTCTACAGACTTCTTCGTAGTCTCCCGGCGTAATTAGTTTTTGACTTGGACACCCGTCCCAAACACTCTACTATCAAAGATTCTTCCGCCCCAGAAAAAATTTTTCCTGGCTTGGCCTCTCCCGAAGGTCCAGCCCGTAAGATTTTTGGACTCAATTCAACCCTTAAGAATCTTATCCGGCTTGACCTCGCCAAGGTGCTATTTTTTTACTGGGTAACAACGTCATAACTATGCCTGTATTTCAATACTATAATATCGTTTAATAATTTTTGAAAAACGGACAATTGTAAAATCACTTTTTTACCACAACTGGACCTTAGTAAGGCATTTGACACAGTTGACCATAGAATATACAAGTGACGTATTACCAAATACTCCAGACATCAAGCCTAACACCCAGCCTGTATATCCCGAGATACCCATTACTTCATTTGTCAAACATTACACCCAACGTGTATATCCCGAGATACCCATTAATTCATTTGTCAAACATAACATTTCAGAGCCTACTATAGGAGTAATTCAAATTAATCAGACATAAACATTTCCCGGTAGACATAAACATTTCCCACGCCTGTTATCAACAGTCCCCTTATTATAAACATTTCACACGCCTTTACCGACGACAGCAGACATAAACAAGAGGTAAAATTTTAAACAAAGGGTCCAGCATGAGAACCCATTCATCAGCATAAAAGCTTTGACCAATCCAAATTTAATAAACAAAAGATGCAGCCTGACAACCCACCCATCAGGCCACCAATTCGACCAATCGAAATCTTCTGATCGAAGTCCACTTTCGCTGCTAGCGTCGCTGTCACCGATAAAAGCCATAGTTATAAGAATAATGCAATTGTAAAGACAGTTCAATTTTGGGAATCTTACTATTAAGACATTACCAATAAAACTCCACTGTATATTTAAATAAAAATCGCTTTTTTTTTTAATATATCGCAAAGTGAAAAATCTAATTTACATATATTAAAAAACTTCAGAAATTATATTATATATACATATTATCAACAGAAAGCAAGCTGTTGTAATTAAAGAAAAGGTATTAATTCGTGTTATCGTTCAGCGGTTGGTATTAAGGCCCTTGTTGTTTACAATGTATGAAGTGTAACGTCAATATGCGGACCATTGAGTTATGTTAATGAATGCATAAGATTGTCTCACATTTGTTTATTAAATTGTGGGCTTCTAGTAATGGTTGAGCTTAAGTCAAAAAAAAAAAAAAAACATCAAAATGCGTTCTTATTGTTGTTGTTATCTTGACACTTCTTTTTTTATATTGACATTTTAGAACAAAAAAAAAAAAACAAGACTCAATTCTTGCCGAGATAAAGCCCGGTGTAGTGGGGTCTTCATTCCGGACCAAACAAATTCTTTATTAGTAAAGATGCTGTTATCGGGTTGACCACTTTAAAAAAAAAAATTATAAAAAATAACAAAACGGCGTCGACTTGAAAAAATGTTTTAAACCCATTTTTTTGACTTTTTCGAATATTTTAAAAATACTTATAATCAACCTTTTTGTATTCGAGGCAGACGCGATAAAGAGCAGTATAAACAAGATATATACCAAATTTTAAAGGTATCGGTTCAGTAGAAATTGAAGTATCATGTCAACCACCTAAAAATAAATAGTTTCGAGAAAACGCAATTAAATATTAGGAAACAATTCTAATAGCTCGGACAGAATTAGCTACGTTTCCGAAAATAATTCGAATTTCGAAAAATCCTTTTATTCATATCTTTGAAAGTCTAAACTTTTAAAATATCCACAATACACCATTAACTCACGTTTTGGCGAGCGGGTTGATCCGAATTCAGAAAAATTTTATTCCTCAGATTCGTAGTTATGTTTTCTAGTCTATGTTATGTTATGTTTTCTAGGAGATGTCTCCTTCACTGCGTTGCAAACTTCTGACTGAAATTATAATACCCTCTGCAAGGGTATAAAAAACGCCGTTTGAAGCGAGAATCTAGCATTATACCAAACCTGAGTGAACTACATGTAACATATACCTCCTCGTAGGCATAACTAATACAACTAACGCCCAGCTTGAGTTCTCATCTGAAAAGAGGATCTCTTCCTTAACGTGAGTTTCCACCTTACATAGCACTAACCTAGTGTAGGCCCCACTACGGCAAATAGACCTCTCCCTTATCCTGCGAAAATACGTTGTTGACCCTGGGCCACGCCGTCAATTCGGGGTGATTCAATAACCCGAGGACTAAAAATTCAAGGGCCATTCCGTCTCCCTATACTTTCCTTCACAGTTACAAATTTTATGTTTTATTAGGTACTATGGCCACGTCTCAGATTTTAACAAGGAGTAAGAACTTTGTTGCAAGTGCCGACCAAAATGGTAACTGTTCAGGAAGGAAGATTCAGAAAAAATTAACACCTAAGCCTCAAAGAAAAAATATATGAAACAAATAATTAAATTAAATAATTAAAAAGTACGAAGTCCTCCTGGGCTATTGAGGTAAGCCGCCAGCCAAATGTCTGGCGAAAGTTTCCGTGAGATTTTTTGAAAGTTAACAGAGAATTGACAAAGGGAAATTCGAAATTTCGGAAGTGAAAACTGGAAGCTTTAAGTTATAGTCCTCCGATTTTGATGAAATTTAAACCGTAATTCTACAATATTAAACGATTACTATATGTAGAAGAACAAAAAAAAAATAAAAAACAGCAAAGTTATAATTTTTTTTATTTATTTTTGCGATTGTTCCTATGGGAGGTATATGCTATAGTCGTCCGATCCGACTCTTTACGACCTTACCTGCAATAGAAAGACAACTTTTGGGAAAGTTTCATGCAGATAGCTTTAAAACTGAAAGACTAGTTTGCGTAGAAACGGACGGACAGACAAACGGACGGACAGACGGACAGACGCATATGGCTAGATCGACACTCCTAGTTATGCTGATCAAGATTATATATACTTTATGGGGTCGGAGATGTCTCCATCACCCTCTGCAATGGTATAATAAGCTAAATTGCTGAACGCACCCGACAGATGACGCCTCCTAAACCAATATATGGTAACACGTATTGGTGTTACTATTATTTTATTAATGTATGTTTGGGTTTCACAATGAGGAGTTACAAAGCGTGCGTGAAGCCTAGCCGAGAGCCAGAAGAAGAGAGTGATAAAGATGTGTTTCTTAGGATATATCGA